AATAATTAAATTCAATTAAAATTAGTTATTATTCCATTATTTTAGAAAAAATCGACACAACAAAAAGTTTTATCAACATTTATAGATACTAAATTTTGGAAGGAATTTATAAATTTATATCAAAGTTTGCCCGCATTATGGAAAGTCGATGATAAGGAGTACCACAATAGGAAACGAAAGGATGAATGCTTAGCAATTTTAGTTAAAAAATTAAGAGAAGTTCAACCGGATGCTGATGCGCAGGAAGTTAAAAAATCGATTAATACTCTACGATCCGGCTACCGCAGAGAAATTAAAAAAGTAAAGGCAAGTGAAAAGTCTGGTGCCACAGGTGATGACCTGTATGTTTCCAATGTTTGGTATTTCAATTCTTTGAAGTTCTTAAGGGCTATTCCGGAAAAAGCTCCACCGATTGACTACGCATTAAATGACAGTTCTAAGCAGGTAAGCAAACAGGTTCCCCATACACAATAAATAAGCTAAAAATATATATTTCCATGTATTGTTATATTTTATTTATTTATATTTTAGTGTTATTTTTCAATTTTATATAACTGTACATAATTATATCTAATTAGAATTCCTTATTTAATTATTTTAGACACAATCCAATGGGCATTTACGAAAAAAAAACGAAGAAAGAAATGAGATTATATCAGAAGCTATTTCGCATCTGCCAAGCTCTAAAGAAATAAAACTAGATGAAGCAAATGCTTTAAGTACTTCCTGGGAAGTTCAGTACAGGAATTTGGAGCGCAATCAGCAAATATATGCCAACAAAATGATCAATGAAGTTCTTTACCAAGCGACGCTAGGTAACTTAAATGAATATTCCTATAAAGTAATTGAACATCAACAACCAGGTGTAAGGACAATTTCGTCAGTGGGTCCCAATATCCGAAGTTTTACAGTTTCTACAAATACTATACCGAAATATGAATTAGAATCTGAAGTAGATGAACCTTCAATAGATACAATTTTGTCTACTTCTCCATATAATAAGCATGAATCTACATTCAAAACAGTTAAACGGAAACAGACACGTATACGTACAGTTTCATCAGGGAATTGCAGTATGTCGAACTATTCCGCTACTGTTTCACCTGAAGTTATACATGTAAATTCAACCAGATATGCTGCGTCACCTTCTCCAGAGTCCTTTAGTCCACAGTTGGATGTGTTGCAGCCTGATGTAGCTTGCAACAACCTGAAATATGACAGCATTTCATTAGACGACTAATTTTAGTAGTTCATATTTGCTTAATTTATTCAATTTATTTGTATAATACCTAATTCTAAAATATGTAAAATTCTTTAAGTTCTTTAATTTTAAGATTTTTGATATAAGATCGAAATGTTAAATATATTCACCTCTTTTTTATATTCAACATTTTTTTAACTTATCTCCCACACAATTTACTTGCGAAAAATTTGGTGCAAAATAGGGAAAAAAAACTCCCATTCGCATTAGATTCAGAATAGAGGAACTGGGAAAAGAGGAAAAGCTCCCGCTCCTGCTCCCATTTGATTCAAAATAGGGGTGAATATATTTCAATTTTTATTTTATCCACACGGGTTAATCATTTTTTCAAATATATTTTTTTAAAATTATTATAATAAATTTAATATAATTAAGTTTTTATTTATTTATTTTATGCACATGGGTTGATCATTTTTTCGAATATTTATTATTATAATAAATTTAAAATATTTAAATTTTTATTTATTATTATTATTTTTATTTATTACTATTTTTATTTATTATTATTATTTTTATTTATTAGTATTTTTATTTATTAGTATTTTTATTTATTATTATTATTTTTATTTATTTTATGAACACTGGTTTTCCCCACAAATTAAATTGTTAACTATTGTTATTTAAAACAATAGAATAATGAAAGAAACCCTCATTCTACAATAAATAGGATACCTTGAGTAAGTTAAAATAATCTTTTGTAATTATGAGCAGGTATTCAAGCAATATTTTTTCCTGCAACATCTGCGCTCATCATAAACTATTGTTACGGTTCATTAATTGAAGGACATTTTTATCCTAATTATAGAAACAATTGTCGACTTTTCGAAATAGAAGAACTCAAACTTTAGTTAAAACATTAATAATTCCAATTAATAAATAAGATATTTTACTTTTATTGTTTATAAGAAAAAAAAAATAAATTTTTAAATTTAAATCAACATATGAAGCACAATTCTTTTCATTTGTTTGATTTGCTTCTTATTTTTGTACTTTTTGACATTTAAAAATGTAAATGTTACCAAACAAATTTAAATTTTTTGTTGTTCCCATAATAACTGTCTCCCTAGCAGTTCTGAATAGGGGAATTCTCATTTTTGGAAGAAACTTCTCTGGGAATATTCAGAAGAGCGATGATTATGTAATTAGATACATGTTGGATCAAAAAATGTATTAGATTATATTTACATATATTATTTTTCAGAACAAATATATTGTATTTTTTATATATTTGATGCATTCGATTCGTAAGCCATCTTTGGCTTACGGTGGCATCATTGTCTTAAAGTATAGCAACGATATGACGAAAAATTAAAACTCCGTTTTCAATATATTTAAAATTAAATATATTTTATATTATTCAAGTGGAAAATCTTATAGCCACTTAATGTATTGATGTTATATTCGAAACAAAATTTGATGATGACAGTCGCTCTGAATTAAGTTCGAATGAATTCGAGTAAGAGAACCTCGGAAATGTGGCATTGCTAACTTGGTTCAATACTTAATTGACCAGATTAACCCAATTATTTAATTGATTATTAGGTTTTGGCCTGAAGCAACACTCCTATCCAGGTGCCTCTACTTCGTACGCGGCCTTTGCAGTCTCATATATCAAGCGCGATTAGTATTCCCCTAATTTGATCAGTTCATCAAGAAAAAATCATAGAAAATTCAGAGATCACATTGTAGCGAATCTTGCCTGAATACTTGCATGGTTTCAAAATGTCAATTTTAGACTATTTATAAATCTTATAATTGCTGTGGGCTTAATTTTACCTATTTGATTTGGGACTGGGATCCCGCTTCCAAGGTAATCGAGTCTACGTCTTGCCGCCGCTGGGCAGTTACATAAAACATGTTCTGATGTTTCCTTCTCCTCATGACAGAGTCGACAGGAGTCACTTTCTACAGCACCTATAATCTTTATGTGGTAATTAAGTCTACAGTGTCCTGTAAGAAGTTCAGTGTAGATTTTAATATAATTTCTGCTAAGGCCAAGGATAGCATCAACTTTGATGTGTTCAGGATTAATAAATCTTTTTGCCCTCTTTAAGATTACCTAGATAAGGAAGCCTTAGTGCGGCACTGGTCGCAGTCCTTTTAACTGTGATGTGTAACGGAGTGAGTCCAATTAGCATTGCTACGGCTTCTGTGGGGCACGTTTTCATTGCTCCCGTTACGCTTAGACAGACTGTTCGATGAGTCTTATTGAGGGTCATCTTAGCCTTCGTGTGATTTACCTTTGGCCACCATGCCAAGCAAGCATAGGTGATCATTGGTACTGTTACGGTCTTGTATGACCAAGCCATCATTTTTGGTCGCAGACCCCATGTTTTACCATAAAGTCTGTACAGCCTGAACTTCATATCCGAGGTCACCAAGAGACTGTAAGAGTTCGTCAATGACCAATAGCCATAGAAGCGGCGATAGAACGCCTCCTTGAGGGCTTACTTTGGTTGACTTGACAGTTAATCTCTTCGTCCCCATTTCAAAGATTATCGTCCTATTTTTCAGCATATTGAGAATCCATGTTATGATTAGTCTATGTATTTCTTTCTTGAACATTCCTTCCTCAATTGAGCTGAATGTTGCTTTATCAAAAGCTCCTGTAATGTCAACCGACGTACAGAGAGCTATTTCCTTACCGTCTAAAGCCTTCTCGATTTTACTCGTTAGACTATGTATAGTGGTCTCGGTCGATTTGCCCGACTGGTAAGCATACTGTTCAATATGTAGAGGTGAAGCTTTAATGTAGACTTCCCTGATGTATTGATTTAGAATCTTCTCCATTACTTTAAGCAAGAAAGAAGTAAGGCTAATGAGCCGGAAAGCTTTTGGCGTGTGATCTGCCTTATTGCCTGCTTTCGGTATGAAAGCTACCCTATCCTTCGTCCAATGTTTAGGTATTACTCCTAGTTTTAGACTTATCCTAAATACGTTTGTTAATATCGGTGCTAATACATCAACGTCTTTTTGAAGAAGACACGGTTGAATATTGTCGATACCAGATGCTTTAAACGCGCTAAAAGTGGAAATGGTCCATTTAGTTTTATTAACTGTGAAAATTTTCGTGCAATCAACAAAAAACGATTATCATCGATGGTTTCCATACTCTCAGTATACATGGCACAGCCTACAAAATGAGTGTCCAGCAAAAGCTGTCCCGTTTCTTACAGACTTTCCGTAAAGCTTCCGTCAGCCTTCTTTAGTGTAGAGAGGCTATTTGAGTGGTCTTTGTTTAGAGATTTCTCGAGTCTCGCAGCCGTGGGAAGTATTTCAAACTGCTCGCAGTACCTCCTCAATGATTCCTTCTTTGATTTTTTCAATTCCTTACTGTAACCCGTTAAGGCAGTCTTAAAAGATGCCCAGTCCCCTCTGGACTTGGCTCTATTAAGGAGCTGTCGGGCTTTTTTGCGCAAAATGTTCAGTTCCCTATTCCAACATGGGACGTTTCTACAACGTTTCTTTTTGACAAGTTCCCAGCTGTTTTCAAAAGCCCCTGTAATAATATTTTCAAGTTTGTTAACCTTAAGATTTAGTTCCTGACAATTAGTAATCCTATTCCCAAAACAACTAATGTTTTGTTCTATATAGAAGTTTTATAGAGACCAGTTGGTCTTCCTAACATTTTTTGTTTCGAAAGTGTCTTCAACTTCCCCTTTCAAATCAAAGCGTATATATCGGTGATCTGATGAGGAGTTTTCCTCCAACACCCGCCAATTTGAAATGTAATTAGATCAACATTACTATCATACATTAACTTAACGTTTTTGTCTGTAGATCGTTTATGCGCCCCTTTGTGGCCTATGGTTCTTGGATGGCCACAAAATCTAGACAGTGTTGTTCCACCAAGGTACTGAGCCTATATGAAGCTGCTATAGCCCGGTGGAGGTTGATTTGGAGGCAATGAAGCTGGCTCCAAGAGTTTTGCGAAAGTGGCGGAGTCCGGGACATTATTTCCCAGACTGGCCCTTGCGGACCTTGCCGCCCTTCGTACCGCGCAACAAATCTGCGGCCTCCGGATCTTTCTTTTCACCTGACAAATGTACGATCTCGGTCGTGAATTCTGCTGTGTAGCTCAGATGGCGTGATTGGCGAGGAGACACCTTATTGACTTTTTGCTGAAAAACGAACGTCAACGGCTAATGGTCGGTGCGGATTACGAAATAACGCCCTTCAAGCAGATAACGAAAATGTTTTATAGATACGTAAAGTGCTAGCAGTTCTCTGTCATACGTGCTGTACT